TAGGTCCAATGAATCATCCTTTTTCCACGAAAAGTAAGTAGTAGTAGTAATTATTTGTTGTGGAAAAATAGAAGTTGTAACTAATTTGCTAATAGAAAAACACTAGAGCTATGTACCAAAAACATTTATCACTATATATAGTAATTTTAGAACTAAATTACTTAGTAGACGATACGACGTCAAACAATAATTATTCTGAACGAGTATAATTATAATAACAAAATCAACAAGACCAAGTTGACCAACCAAAATCAATAATCAATGTCACTTAATGTGTTTATAAGAATATGATCAAAATACCATAGATGAGGCTCTAAAAGGTCTCGCCATCTTTTTTATTTTCATTGTTTATGTTTTATAAAAATCACTGATTAAATTTATAAATTTATTCATTGTTAACTTTAAATTTTGTAAATTATATAAATTTATTCAGACCAAAGATAAAATGTTGCTTTATAGAAACTCCTAATTTTATATAAAATTTCGATTTCTATAAAGATAATAGATAAAATGTTGGTAAATTGATCTTTCAAACTCCTAAATTCAATTTTATCTTTATAGAAATCAGTTTTCCCGTTTCTTTTCTCTATCCCCTCATAATAAAAAAAAAAACTAAACAAATTTTTCTATCAACCAACATAGTAATCATAATATTTTCCTTTTACTACATAGTTTACACAGTATAATAATAGATTTTTCCTAAAACAATAGCTGTATAAATAGATCCTGTAAATAAAAAAATAGATTCGGTTTATTTCTTTTAATTGGTCGTGTTCAATAACGACGATAACAACAATCCTAATAATGTAATTAGCTCAAGTGATTAGCCTTAGGGGTAATATTGTCATAATCAGGTGCGTGTTTTAGTTGACAAATTGCTTTCTGCAATTTCTCTCTCTACAAAAATAATTTTTAATTTTTTTTTTGTATGTTTTTCCTCAAATCCTCCATTGTTTTTGTACATAAAGCAAAATACAAAGGATCTCTAAAAATTCAAATCATCATCGTCGAAGAAATCTTCTTCTTTACCTTCTTCGATTTGCTCGGAAAAATTTCACATCCCCCGTCTGCTTGACGTCGGAATCTCACCGGTAAATGGCGCCGAGTAGACGGGATTTACAGCTAACTCCGATAACCGGAGATGGATCTTCGGCGGCGGAGATCGGTGCGATGGAAGAAGTTCGTCTTCTAGATTCGTATGATGATGATGAAGAGAACGCCGATGTTTTGAGTAAGATCGAGGAAGGAGGTGGAAGCGGTTTAAGGAAGATTCAGGTTGGAGTAACCGGTATGACTTGTGCTGCTTGTTCGAATTCCGTCGAAGGTGCTTTGATGACCGTTAATGGCGTCTTTAAAGCATCTGTTGCTTTGTTACAGAACAGAGCCGATGTCGTCTTCGACCCCAATTTAGTCAAGGTTTTAACATTTGTTTCCATTTTTCTCGTCTTCGATTTGGGTCGATTTATGATTCATGAAATTCGTTAGAAATTGTGGATTTTTGAGATATCTCAAGTTTAGAGCTTTTTCACATTTTTTTTTTTTTGTTTGGTTTAAATATGAAGCATTTAATTGGGTCTGTTTTAGGAAGAGGATATTAAAGAAGCAATAGAGGATGCTGGATTTGAGGCAGAGATTTTGGCAGAGCCTGTTACTACTACTGGGACAAAAACACAGGCTACTTTGGTTGGACAGTTTACAATTGGAGGCATGACATGTGCAGCTTGTGTTAACTCAGTTGAAGGTATTCTAAGAGATCTTCCGGGTGTGAAAAGAGCAGTGGTAGCCTTGGCTACATCATTAGGAGAAGTTGAATATGATCCAAATGTAATCAACAAAGACGATATTGTTACTGCAATCGAAGATGCTGGGTTCGAAGGTGCGCTTGTGCAGAGTAATCAGCAGGACAAACTTCTTTTGAGGGTTGATGGCGTCTTAAACGAGCTTGACGCTCAGGTTCTAGAAGGTATAATTACTAGATTGAATGGGGTTAGACAGTTTCGTCTTGACAGGATATCAGGAGAGCTTGAGGTGGTGTTTGATCCGGAAGTTGTAAGTTCAAGAACTTTGGTTGATGGGATTGAAGGAGAAGGATATGGGAAGTTCAAGTTGCGTGTCATGAGCCCTTATGAAAGGTTGACTTCAAAAGATACTGGAGAGGCCTCAAATATGTTTCGGCGCTTTATCTCCAGTCTTTCTCTCAGTGTGAGTTACTTATCTGCTTTATGGAATGCACACACCATTTATTATGCATTCACCGGTCTTGAATCTGTTATCTAATGTCATTAATAAAAAAATGATTTTTTTAATACAGATTCCTCTCTTCTTCATCCAAGTAATCTGCCCCCACATTGCTGTTTTTGATACCGTACTGATATGGAGATGTGGACCCTTTATGATTGGTGATTGGTTGAAATGGGCCTTGGTAAGTGTTATTCAGTTTGTTATTGGCAAGCGCTTCTATGTTGCCGCATGGAGAGCTCTTCGAAATGGTTCAACTAACATGGATGTGCTGGTCGCTTTGGGCACGTCTGCGTCTTACTTTTATTCTGTTGCGGCTCTTTTATATGGAGCAGTCACTGGCTTTTGGTCTCCAACTTACTTTGATGCAAGCGCCATGCTAATCACGTTTGTCTTGCTGGGAAAATATTTGGAATCTCTTGCAAAGGGGAAGACCTCAGATGCTATGAAGAAACTAGTACAACTTACTCCAGCAACAGCGATTTTACTAATTGAAGGCAAAGGTACTTTAACTAGTCCTATGCTTAAATGATTATTGCATAAAAATGCTGGTTGTATGGAAAATGCTCCTAATAAGGATTTTTGATCTATTTAACCTTGTTTAAGTTCAGTTCCATTTCCTTCTTTTATTTTATAGGAGGAAAGTTTGTAGGGGAAAGAGAGATAGATGCATTACTGATTCAGCCTGGTGATTCATTAAAAGTTCTTCCTGGTGGAAAGATCCCTGCAGATGGTGTAGTGGTCTGGGGTTCAAGTTATGTCAATGAAAGTATGGTCACTGGTGAATCAGTTCCTGTATCAAAAGAGGTTGATTCTCCAGTAATAGGAGGTACTATTAATATGCATGGTGTTCTCCACATGAAAGCTACAAAAGTGGGATCTGATGCAGTTCTGAGCCAGATTATTAGTTTGGTCGAGACGGCCCAGATGTCCAAAGCTCCTATTCAGAAGTTTGCGGATTATGTAAGTATACAATATAGACATGTATTGTATTGTGGATGTCATCCATTGTTATTATTGTGTGTTCCGTTGTGATATAATCTTTAACAGGGCAACGATTTTATCCTGGCTTGTCCAATTTGCAGGTTGCAAGTATTTTTGTTCCGGTAGTGATTACTTTGGCATTGTTCACTTTAGTGGGCTGGTGAGATCTAGTACCTTAGCCGTTACCATTATCCAGTATCGAAGCATGTGGTAGAAATTTGTTTCTCATGTCTGGACACAAATGATTTTGTAGGTCAATTGGTGGAGCTGTTGGAGCTTACCCAGACGAATGGCTGCCGAAAAACGGGACTCACTTTGTTTTCTCACTTATGTTCTCGATATCCGTTGTGGTAATTGCTTGTCCTTGTGCACTCGGCTTGGCAACACCGACTGCTGTTATGGTGGCAACAGGAGTTGGCGCAACCAATGGTGTATTGATCAAAGGAGGTGATGCATTGGAGAAAGCTCACAAAGTGAAGTATGTTATCTTTGACAAAACAGGCACCTTAACTCAAGGAAAAGCTACCGTGACAACCGCAAAAGTTTTCTCAGAGATGGACCGTGGAGAATTCCTCACACTTGTTGCTTCTGCTGAGGTAAGATAAATTTTCTTTCCTAGCATCTTGCATTGTTAGTGATATATAAACGCTTTGCTAAAGCTTTTCATAGCGTCTCTTAATTTCCTTAGGCTAGCAGTGAACACCCATTGGCAAAAGCTATAGTTGCCTATGCTCGGCATTTCCACTTCTTTGATGAATCCAGTGAGGACGGCCAAAAAAATAACAAAGAGTCTCAAAACTCTGGATGGTTACTCGATACTTCAGATTTCTCTGCCCTTCCTGGAAAAGGAATTCAGTGCTTAGTCAATGAGAAGATGATCCTGGTTTGTGTTTTATTCCATAATATAGTATTTACTTCATGCTTTTTTGTCCTGTTCTCGCCAACTGAAAGAAAGTTTGTTTTTCTCTCTTTGGCCAGGTGGGAAACCGTAAACTTATGTCAGAAAACGCCATAACAATCCCAGACCATGTCGAGAAGTTTGTTGAGGATCTTGAAGAAAGCGCAAAGACGGGAGTCATTGTAGCCTATAATGGCAAATTAGTCGGCGTGATGGGAATTGCGGATCCACTTAAGCGAGAAGCAGCTGTTGTTGTGGAAGGTCTCCTTAGAATGGGTGTTCGGCCCATAATGGTTACAGGTGATAACTGGAGAACAGCAAGAGCAGTCGCCAAAGAGGTTAGAATCCCAATTCACAATCTCTGTGATAAGGGATGAAACATTATCACTAAAAAAGATGCGGTTTTCTAAAAAGAAGAATCGGTTTTTGTGTGTGTGGCATGAGTTCAGGTTGGTATCGAAGATGTGAGAGCGGAAGTAATGCCAGCGGGGAAAGCAGAAGTTATCCGTTCACTCCAAAAAGACGGTAGCACAGTAGCGATGGTAGGAGACGGAATCAATGATTCGCCTGCTCTAGCCGCTGCCGACGTGGGAATGGCGATTGGTGCAGGGACGGATGTAGCAATAGAAGCAGCTGATTACGTTCTGATGCGAAACAACTTAGAAGACGTTATAACAGCCATCGATCTCTCACGGGAAACCTTAACAAGAATCCGTTTAAATTACATTTTCGCCATGGCGTACAACGTAGTGTCAATCCCGATAGCAGCAGGAGTGTTCTTCCCGGTACTGCGGGTGCAACTGCCGCCATGGGCCGCGGGAGCGTGTATGGCACTCTCATCGGTTAGTGTTGTTTGCTCGTCTTTGCTTCTTAGAAGATACAAGAAGCCAAGACTTACCACTATTTTGGAATTCACCAAGGAGTAACTTTTTTTCCTTCTAATTTGAGTGCCACTACTTTTGCTTTGAAAAAAAAAAGGGAAAATAA